ACACTAAATAAACTTCTACTTACTAAGTACTACTATTCCTACTTGGTGGGGTTTCACTTATCGTGGGACTTCGGGGTACGGTTCCCCCGCGATAAACAAGGGACTACTTTAAACAACTAATGTCTTATCTGTTGTAAACAAATTATTATAAACAAACTTAGTTTAAACAAAGATTTCTTTGAACAGATGGACAAGCTAACAGCTAAGACCAAAGTGGATTGCTTCCAATATTAAACCACTCCATTCTCAGATGTTTTATAAATAGGTGTCAAATACGATCATTTACACCAAGTTGAATGTTTTATGTACGTATCTCAGCAGTAGCTAGCTGTTAGCTAGCTGTAACCCTCCTGGTGCAACCTAAAAGTCAATGAGATGTTTCATTCTTGTGTCGTACAGACATAAGTGCATGACAAAAATTGTAATTTTCTTTGCTTACAACTCAATGCCACCACATCTTATGCATTGCCCCCAGCAAGAACTAGTTCTCTCCAGGGTATGCAGTGAGCATTGTGTTGTTGGTAGGAATTTCATGGGCACGGTTGTTTATGACAAGCAGCTGCAGTACACAGATCTGAGAGCAGCGTCTGCTGAAGAGCTGCTGGCCGAGGTCGTGAATGTAGCCATCTTTACAAGTGTTCCAGTAAAAATGATAAAGGAAATCAAACAAAACTCTTTTTTTTCCTCTTCTTTCGGCTGCTCCCTGCGTTAGGGGTCGCCACAGCGAACTAAGTCGCACAAAGACTTGGCAGTTCTTTTTACGCCGGATGCCCTTCCTGACACAACCACAGACCACCGAGCTACCACAGCCCTCTGTGTGAAGCAGAGAGCTGCCATCTAGGACACCCGGAGGAGCAGATGGTGGGGGTTAAGGGCCTTGCTCAAGGGCCCAGAGTGGGACGAATGAGGGTGGGGGCAGGTGTGGGTGGTTCACCTACCCCACCCACATTTTTGATGTTGTCGGTACCGGGGCTTGAATCGGCGATCTTTCGATCACAGGCCCACCTTAAAAAGGCAGTAAAAGAACTTGTGTAAGGAGTTTGGATAATTTTGTGCCTACAGGACAAAGCACAGAGAACCAACAGCTCTCCATGGCTCTGCTGACAGAGAGTGTGCCTCGGTTGGACTGTCTAGGGCAGGGCTATTCAAGTGGAGGCCTGGCAGCCAAACCAGGCCCACTGGTGAACTCAGTTCAGCCCACCAATGGGTTCATGTTTAAATAAAACTAGATTTTAAATCACAAAACAAATTTACTTAATGCCAATAACTGCTGGATGTCCAGCCTCTGGGCTCTTGGCTTTCAGTAACTGTGGCCCCCTGAGCAGTTTAGTTGAAGAGCTCTGTTGTAGGGGCACCTTCCCGAAGTCATTATAAACAGTGGTGGTCTCTTTGTGACAAGTTTACAGAATAATGTTTCTCCTTAGTTACAATAGAAATACCAGATCTTCCTCCTCCAACTCGTCCATCCTCGACTGAAAACAGACTGTCAACTTTGTTGTTTCTGTTTGTGTGTCATGTGCAGAAGTGGGAGGAGCTATCAGGATTTGTGCAGGTTCTCTTTTGAGTATGAATTGTTTATGAGAAAAAGAACATCTAAAACAACAGAAGCGAGATGCAATGTCTTACATATTGATGGAGTATAATCAGGCCTTAATGCACTTCCTTCAATCATATATTTCTGCCAGGATGACTAATGCCAAACTGACTGAGGTGTAAAGTGTAATGATACTGTTCATATTTACCATATTTTTCGCCTCATAAGTCAAATTTTTTGCATAATTTATATGCCCTGTGACTTTTAGGCCGAAGCGACAAATTTATGGATTTTTTCCCATATTTATAAACCAATTGTTGGCTGAGATATGACTGTTTTAATTCATTCTGACTAAAATAAAATTTAAGCAGTACCACTTTCAGCCACTTGATGGCAGCAGAGTAGTAGTAGCAGTATGGCATGCTAATGTATCATGTAATAGGTAAACGTGGCTATGACAAATTCAAAAAAGTTCCAAGACATAAACAACTAGACTGTATTTATTATACTTTATACTTTATTGGGGTTTTTTTTCTTGAACTTTTTTGAAATTACCATGTCCTGGATGACTGAGAATCTTCACCAGCTTTTAATGATATAATCGGCTTGCCAAAGTCTCCCCACCTTGTTTCTGCTCGCTGCTTGGACCGACCATCAAACCAGCTGCACTGCCCCGGAGAAATGCAGCTAATTTGACCATTAAAATGCATTTTTTTTTAAGCAAACATTAAACTGAGACACACCTTTGCTATAATTTAGAGCAAACACATAATTGTTTTAGGTGCCTTTCTTGTGAAATTTCGAAGAAACGAGCTGCATTCCTCTTTCCTGATTTCCTCCCTCTGTGCGGTCCCGGACCACCGAGACAGCAAAACTATTTTGAAATTCAGCTGATTTGACCATTAATGTGCATTTATTAAGCAAACTTTAGACTGAGCCACACATTTACTATAATTTCGAGGCAAACAAGTAATTGTTTTTAAGTGTTAATCTTGTTACATTCTTGTTAAAGTCCTCCCGTGCATGCTCCCGCGGTCGCCATTTGGCAGCCCATTGATTTTTGGCACAACAGCGGCCCACATTTCCAGGTTGTCAGCGGTGACGCGTAACAAATGCGACGCATCAGCAGTGACGCATGATAGATGCGACGTATACGGCAAAGTGACATATTTATGGATTTTTCCACTTTATTAGACAAATATGGATTGATGCGACTTATAGGGCGGAGTGACATATACGGCGGAAAATACGGTACTAGTTTAAAATCTGAGATTGGAGCTATTTTAAAATGGGAGAAATTCACTTTAGCCTTTACTAAGCTCAAACTGGCTGTTAGCTTGTATGATCAGAATAAAATTTGTTCACAAAAAGAGTTATCAGGTAATTATTGCTTTCTTCAAAAGATCCGAACTATCTTTTTTACATGTTTATGTCTTTTTTATGCCCTAAAAATAAGATTGAAAAGATACAGGAATAATG